AGAAGGTGCCAGAGCTGCTTCCATGCATTTTTGAAAATGACTTCTCTTTCGTGGAGTCATCTTGGTAGGCTCTGCCACGTCAGAGGGTCTCTAGCCCTTCAGAAAGAGCTGTGGGGGCTCGGCACCTATAGCTCAAGAGGCTAAGGTGCCAGCCACATATACCAGAGCTGGCAGGTTTGAATCCAGCCCCGGCCCGCCAAACAACAATGACGGCTGCAACCAAAAAACAGCTGGGTGTTGTGGCAGGAGCCTATAGTCCCAGCTACTTGGGAGGCTGAGGCAAGAGAATCATTTAAGCCCAAGAGTTGGAGGTTACTGTGAGCTGTGATGTCATAGTACTCTACCCATGGTGACAGCTTGAGGCTCTGTCTCAAAAAAAAAAAAGAAAGAAAGAAAGAGCTGTGGAGTCTGTGAGGTGCCCAGAGACAGCCAGCATGGTCAGGGCCTTGAGCATCTCTAGCTCAGACCTGGAAGAATCAAGGAGGCCGGATGGTCAGCTGGGAGATGAGGCTGGAATGACGCTGCTGGGGGAGTGTTTGGCACCCAGGCTGGGAGAGGGAAGCCCAGGAAAGCGGTTTTCTCCAGGAGCATTTTAACTCTGACCAGACACCGACGGAATCACTGCTGAGTTTTCCAGGTGTGATGATGTGTGTGCATGTTTTAGAAAGGGTCTTATCTTCTGGAAAGTGGAAATAAATAAAGATCACCTGAGTGAGACACACAGAGGCTACTCACTCAGCTTGCTGAGCGGGGAGTCAGCCACCATCACTTGTGTTTGGCAGACTCAGAGGCAGACAGCAGAGTGGGGATGCTTTCTAGAAAAAAAAGGGATGGCTCTGGACACACCCTGATGGAGGCAGTTGGCCCGGGGAAGCTGGAGGCTCCCTGGAGAGGGTACCCAAAGGGACAGGGCAAGGGAGCATGCAGGCTTTCTCTGGCTGTCCTAAGTTGGAAGCAGAGAAACAAACTAGAGAAGCCATCACATGCGAATCAGGTCCTGGCCACTTTGGATTGACCGTGACAGGGTTACTGTGTGGCTTCCTGGATTGTTGGTAGAAACGGCAGGCCGGCTGCCCACAAGTCTGCCTTCCAGCAGGCCGGCTTGCTGGCCTGGCAGGTGCAGGTAAGTGGTTCCTACAGGGAGGGTGGCTGTGGGCCATGGGTCAGGGTGCTATTTGTATGAGAGGCCTGGCCACTGTCCACAATTAATCAGTATTTGGTTTCTCAGTAGATACAGACTAAGACACGTGGATAAAATGAAGTGCTCTCTGGGTTTGGTTTAAAATAACCTGGGGTAAGAGGACTGGGTGAGGGTAGAAGTGAAACCAGGCTGCCAAATATTAGTAGAAGCAGGCGACAGGGTCCGTGGAGGTTCTGACGCTATTCTCCCTGCTTCTGAGCATCTTCATGACATTTCATATAAACAGTTAACAAACAATCCCTGGTCAACAGAGTCGCCTGCATCCTCGGGCCACTTCTGCCCTGTGGGTCTCATATTCCATGCCCTTGGGGTGTCACAGTGTGTCCTGTGGGACGGGTCTGCTCTGCCGGGCTTCTAAAGCTTGCAGCTTGTTGCTCCTTCCCAGCTCAGAGTCAGGACTCAGGACTTAATAGGTGTTCAGAATTAATCTAAATGAATTAGTCAACCACGATGCCATTAATTGGTTGAATGAAGGCTCCCTGGCTCCCCAGGTTGGCTTGGGTTTAGTTTTATGATACAGTCAGTCTCCCTTCTGGTTGGAAGCTCCCTGGGCAGGGAGAAGGAATTCCTCTGTTGCTCTCCCATGGTACTGCAGAATAGTACATGGCAAACACAAGGTAATTGGGAAGAATTTCGGAAACCATCTGGAAATGCCTAAAATGGAGATGTCTTAGTTAATACCAGCAACGTTAAGAGAATTCTGCTTAGGCGAGCAGAGCCAAGATTAGCAGGAGAAAATTAGGTATTTGAAGGTATTACTGCTCCTTGCTTTAGCAGCCGTAAAGACTCCAGATCAGCAGACAGTTTAAAGAGGACACTGAACGAGAGGCCCGGCCTGGCAGCCAGCCGAGTCCTGACTGCCCACTTTGCTCTTCAGAACCTCTACTCCTTCCTGGAGCCTGATGTCCTTGGCTTTCATCTTTCCTCCCCTGTATTTCTGAACCAAGGAAGCCCAACAAGACACCCTTGAAAGCACTTCAGTGTGGTCTGAAATATGTTGATAATTAGCATAATGAAACCCAGGAGGAATTCCCTTAACCTCCCTCTACTCTGTTGAATTTTATAAACCTAATAAAAGCATCTTATCCTAGAAATAAGCCAGCCTCTCCTCAAAATCTTATCTTTAGCAGAAAATGCAATGACCATTTTCTTTCTAAAAACATATTCCTACCTTCCAAAACTGGTTTCTCCCCAAGCAGTAACCACACACTCGGACTTCTGCAAGACTGTGGGGGCAGCACGGGGCACTGACTGGCCTGGGGTAGCTGGCTTTGCTGGATGAGGCTTTCCTTCTCTAACCAGCTGTCGTCACAGGCAAACCTGGGGCTGGGGGTTGCCTGAGTCTTCTCTCTTGTCTCTGAAACTCCCTGCACCAGGGGCACTCACGCCGTGTCTGAACTCTGTGACCCTGGCCAGCCCTCTGTGCTCCCCTCACCAGGGCTGACCATGCCTGGGACACATGACCAGCTGGCATGGCAGACCCCCTTTCCTGAGAGTTTGGCCTTGAAGCTGCTTTTGTGGGCAGTTTGAACTGAGGACAGGGAAGGCAGGAATGGAGTGGCCATCATGAGTGGCCAGGAAGGGCAAAAGAGGAAGGGGAAACTGCAGAGAGAAGAGAGATAACAGATGAAGCACCTCAAGGAGGTGGAGCGAGATCAAGGCCCCAACTCCTGGCTGACCAAGGAGCTGGCCACTTCCTCCATCCAGGTCCCAGGAGTCCCTGTGTCCCCACTTTGGGTCCTTTTTGTTCTCTGGGCAGCCTAGGTGGATCCCTGCTCTTTCTTTTTTTTTTTTTTTTTTTTGAGGCAGAGCCTCAAGCTGTCGCCCTGGGTAGAGTACTATGGCATCACAGCTCACAGCAACCTCCAACTCCTAGGCTCAAGCGATTATCCTACCTCTGCCTCCCAAGTAGCTGAAACTACAGGCGCCTGCCACAATGCCCGGCTATTTTTTGGTTGCAGCTGTCCTTGTTGTTTGGCAGGCCCAGGCTGGATTTGAACCTGCCAGCTCAGGTATACGTCACTGGCGCCTTAGCTGCTTGAGCCACAGGCGCAGAGCCGGATTCCTGCTCTTTGAAACCAAGGGCTGTCCACATCTCACTGGTGACCCTGAGGCTGGAAACTTCCCACTTCCCACTTCTTGGAGGAACAGTGGCCATATGAGCCCTGAATGGGGATGAGGATGGGATACAACCAGCTCTCAGCCATATCCCCTGCCAAGACTGGTAGGAGACCCCTGGTTCTCGCCCGGTTCGTGGTCAGGCCCCAGAGAGACCTAGATTGACCATTACACAAACTAAGCCTCTGCTCGGAGCACCCAGAGTCCCCACCTCCACCCTAGTGCCTTATCTCTTATCATGCCTTAACTTTCACCACCTCATTCAACTTCTGTCAAATTTTTGGTAATCATCTTTATCTCCTGTGCTTAACTTTAATCCACATTGTTGAAAAAAAAATTTTCTTTGGCATGGTGAGTTACTGAAGCCTAAGTTTTGCGCAGAGGTGCTGTCACAGGTGTTTCTGTCCTATGGGGAGAGAGAAGACACAGCTGACCAGGTCCAGATCAGCTGATGCCTGTGCAGGGCCCTTCTGCCCTGGGTTTTAAGCAATGGAAGAGCCGAGGGGGCCTGAATCAACAGGCCTCGGCTCTGCCCATTGGCCTCAAGATTATGAGGTGAAGGGGAGCCCTAGAAAGACTTGACACTCACTGTGTTCAGCACGAGGGCCCTTGTATTCTCAGCGCTCTCACCTCGAATGAGGGAAAGACTGTGTCTCGGGGGTAACACCCAGAGGGCACATCCCTGCTTATCTCCAAAGGGAAATTTTTTTTTTTTTTGAGACAGGATCTCATTCTGTCACCTAGGCTGGAGTGCAGTGGCATCACCATAGCTCCCTGCAGCCAGGAACTCCTGGGCTCCAGCCATCCTCCCAGCTTAACCTCCTGAATATCTGGGACACACCATCACATCCAGCCAAAGGGAGTTAGGAAGAAATATTTTGAGTTTCTATTTGTACTCAAGCGAAGCAATGAGATCTAGCCCTGCATTTCCCTTTATTTTATTATTTATTTATTTTGAGACAGAGTCTCACTATGTTGCCCTTGGTAGAGTGCCTTGGCATCACAGCTCTCAGCCTTGCAAGAGGCTGGGACTACAGGCACCTGCCACAACGCCTGGCTATTTTTTGGTTGCAGTTGTCATTGTTGTTTAGCAGGCCCAGACCAGGCTCAAACCCACCAGCCTCAGTGTATGTGGCTGGTGCCCTACTTAATGAGCTACAGGCACCAAGCTGCATTTTCCTTTAAAAGATATTTCTCAAGTACAGAGCTGGTGGGATTTTAGAAACAGAACCTCCAGTTCTCCTGGGGTGCTCCCCCATGTGAGAGAGGGACTGAGGGTGAGAACTGTGCCACAGGGCGCTAGGCAACGGAAGGCCACACCCTAAGGCACAGCACACAGGAGTGCTGCACTCTGCAGACACCTGGGTGCTGCCCTTTCACTGCCCAGCCCAGCTCAGCCCGCAGACCCAGCACAGATCAGCAGCAGAAAGGAGCAAGCCTGGACCATGCCTTGCAGACAAAATCGCTTCCCTCACTCCCTTCCCACCATAAACATGTCACTTTGGTACCCAGCAGGACATGGGCCCTAGCTAAGGACTCTCTCCTTCCTTCATCACATGCCACCTGCATCTCATCTTGTATGTCACCATTTTCTTTCACTTAATCCAAAAGGAAATGGGAACCAGCCCGGCCAAGGCAGGGAGCATTGTGCTGGCCGACCCCTGCCCCAGGCCAGTCCTACCTTGGTCTTCTGATAATGCTTCCTGGCTTCAGTGGCCAAAACAGAAAATTCTTTTACTATCAAGTTGTCCACACTGAGGAGATTAGTGTTCAGATGTTTGCAAAGCCACATTGCCTATAGAAGGAAAAGAGGAAAAGAAAATTTTATCAAAAACAATGAATATAAGAATAGCTCTATTAAAACATCCAGGTTCTTCCCTGTCCTAGAAAATGCTGGTCACAGAGAAGCACAGTTATTTCTGGCTAGAGGAAGGCCACCAGGACAAACCCTAGGAATTATCTTGGATGCCATCTCTTCTTCAGCCAGCAGGGGCCCAGATGGCACTGTAAGACCCATATGGGCTACGCTCTCAGCTGCCCTTGACACACCTTTCCAAGCTCTGTTGACCCTGAGGTTTTAACTCAGAGAGGTTTAGAATAGGCACTGTGGAATGAGAGCTAAATATGGGTCACAACATTCATAGTTTCTTTAAGATTGGGAAATGACATATTGTGGCCAACAGAATGTTTAGTTCATTGGTGACTATTCTATGAAGTCTATGAGGAGGAGTAAATTTTAAGGAATAATAATACAATAAAATGTTCTTAACACCAAAATTATGCTGATGACCATTTCAGCATTAGGAAGGCCCTTTCCTGGTTGGTATGAACCTTAATTCTTTCCGATCCTATTGCTATTGAACAGTCAGAGACAGTGCCAGGAAGAAGCTGGGCAGAGCTCTGTGTAGTTTACTATCATCTTATCATTGTAAAATCAGACTTCTGTGTCTCCACAGGGCACACAGGGGCAAGGACAGCAAATTCACCAAAATGCTTGCAGCTGAAACACGAGCTAACCGCTGTCAGGGCCTGACCTTATCAGGGAGGACAAGTTCCATCATCTCGGCCACACAGGGACCTAACGAAAGCAGGTCTCTGAGTTTGGAATCTGCTTTGCCCAGAAAATTCCTGCCAGTGACCAGTGAAGAGCGAGAGCTGGGCACACGGGACAGGTGGCCCTGGAAAGTCAAATGTCAAAGACAAAAGCCCTTCCCAAAAGGAGGCCCTCACACAGAGTAACCAGACTCTTCCTGAAAACCTACTTCATCAAGCACATTTGTCTAAAGCAGCGGTTCTCAATCTGTGGGTCCCGACCCACAGGAACTGTATTAAAGGCTCGCAGCATTAGGCAGGTTGAGAACCACTGGTCTACATGCAGACTCAGTCATCCTCATTCCCAACATTAGCGTCACTCAGGAAGCAAGTTCAACTATTAGTATTCTGGGCACTGCCCGGGGAGATTCAGACAAGGTCTGGAGGGGAGAGCAGGAGCTAGGATTTTCCAAAGCACCCTGGTGACGCTGATGGTCGGCAGGTCTGGGGGTCCCTGATTTCTAACAAAACAGTGAGAGTGGCTAGAGTCAGGTGGGTTGACCACAGAAAGGTGTGGAAGATGACAGGCTGATACTGAACAGTCAATAGGAAAGCTTTGGAAAGACAGAAGAATGATGGACAGCAGACAGATAAGTAGGACAGCTATCCTAACACCAAAAGCATAGCAGACGCAGACCCATTTAAGGATCAGCTAACTTAATTACTTTTCAGGAGAAAACAGGTGCCAGGGCCTGCCCCACCACAATGCCCCTGACGTGTGGCCACCAGTGGTGGAGGATGGGTTCACTAATGTTCACTAGCCTGGCTTTTAAAAGGCAGAAAGGGTCTCCTCTCAGATAACAGAAATTTTAACATGTTTTGGCACTTAAAAAATTGACCTTAGGGTGGCACCTGTTGCTCAAAGGAGTAGGGTCCCGGCCCCATATGCCACAGGTGGCGGGTTCAAACCCAGCCCTGGCCAAAAACTGCAAAAAAAAAAAAAAAATGACCTTAATTAGGCCAGGCACAGTGGCTCACACCTGTAATTCCAGAACTCTGGGAGGCTGAGACAGGTGGATTGCTTGAGCTCAGGAGTTTGAGACCAACCTGAGTAACAGTGAGACCCTGTCTCTAAAAATAGCTGGTGCAGTGGTGGGCACCTGTAGTCCCAGCCACTCAGGAGGCTGAGGCAAGAGAATTGCCTGAGCCTCAGAGTTTAAAGCTGTTGTGAGCTATAATGCCACGGCACTCTACCCACGGTGACAGAGTGAGACTCTGCATAAAAAAAAAAAAAAAAAAAAAAATTAAATAAGAAAAAAAAAGTGGACCTTAAAGGATGAAGCCATAGATGGGCTGAAGCACACCAGCATCTGGACACTGCTTGCCGCCCAAGAGGAAAAGAAGAAAAAGGGTAAAAAGTTCTTGCTTGTATAATATTAAGAAAATAATTAACTGATAGTATCTTTAAAATAGTTAATTAAAAAAAGTAAAACAAAAGGGCATGTGAGGTGGGCTCAGGTATTTGCTGTATCTTTCAAGTTGTATTTTCTTTAAAATAGAGAAAGAACAAACAGAGCAAATATGGCAATGTGATGAATATGTGTGAAACCAGGAACTGGGTCCGTGAGGAGCCATGATACAGTTTCTGTGCTTTTCGACTGCAACTGGGAAATAGTTTGAAAGATTTCATAATTCAAAAAAATTTTTTTGAGACAGAGTCTTACTATGTCGTCCCCAGTAGAGTGCCGTGGCATCACAGCTCACAGCAACCTCAAACTCTTGGGTTTAAGCAATTTTCTTGCCTCAGCCTCCAAAATAGCTGGGACTACAAGTGCCCACCGCAACGCCTGGCTATTTTTTGGTTGCAGTTGTTGTTGTTTAGCAGGCCTGGGCCAGGCTCGAACCCACCAGCCTCGGTGTATGTGGCCAGCACCCTACTCACTGAGCTACAGGCATTGAGCCTCATAATTCAAATTTTAAGAGAGAATTTTGCCAAAGTCTCTGGAATGTATGTGCTGCTTGGCCCAGCACTCCCACTTCTAGAATCTAGGTGCTCAAAGCAGACATGAAGGCACAGAAAACCCTGGAAGGGTTCTTTAGCAAAAATGCTAAAGCAGTGTTTATCTTCGGATGGTTGGAGAATTACATTTTGGGTTTTTTCTATTTTCTAGGTTTTCTCCTATAAACTTACATCTTCCTTTTGTGAAAAGAAAATAAGGAGAAGACAAAAGCAGAAGAAACGCTGGGTTCTGCTGCAGCGCCGCTGAGGGCCGCCTGGCTCCAGCTCGGACAGTGAATGAGACAGTACAGTGACACAACACTTAACATGATACACTTACTATGGTTGTTTTCCCCGAGGCCGGTGGACCTAATATTATAACCTTCGGCACTGTAGAATAAAAAGATTTGAATGTCACCACTCAGCATGACAAAGCAGCCTCCCCTGCCTGCGGTACTCTGGGCACACTTATTTCTCTCCTCCCCAGATTTCATTTTCTGCCACTGACACAGCCATTTGTAACCCGGTGGCTCAGAGATGCTCTTGCCATAGAATCCATTCTGTGTTTAGAGAGGTAAGTGATCACCGAGATGGTTTATTCTTCTAGCTCCAAGGGGATCTGGACACCGTAACTTGTTTGCCAAACTAATAAATATTGAGAACAATTGGGATTTCAAACACCATAAAGCATTTTAAACAGGGACTTTGTCTCAGAGATGCTCTTTCAAATAAAGCTGTATTTTATGTAAATCGACCCTTGAAGCTTTTTTTATGTTTATACCTTTTTATTGGGCAAATTGTATTCCCATCATTTTACAGAGGGAAATAATGAGAAAAGCCTGGAGTGCATAGGCCAGATTTATAAATCTCAAGAAAGGAAAGTCTTTGTTTTCAAATACAGACATTTCTATGCAAATAGAAAACACTGGCAGCTGCTGTGGCTTGGAGGCCTGAGTTCCTAAAGCAGCTTTCAGACCATCAGTAGATGCAGCAAACAAAAGAGAGATGACCACCAGGCAGGGTGCTGAAAGGCACGTGCACTTGGGCCAAAGCAAAGGGAGCAGGTGGGGTGTCCAGACAGAAAGCTACGCTGACTGCCTCCCGCAACGCCACCTGGATCGTGCTGCTTCTGTCCTTCTACTGGTGGAGAGCAAGTAACCTCCCTCACCTTGGCCCCTAACCCACCAGGGACCATGAACAGATGTTCTCTCCAACTCAAGCAAGCCTCCAACATCTATGTATAGAGTCTATCCCTCCTCGCAAACCTTAGTTTGGGGCTGGACACAGAGAAGGAATTAGCCAGCGACTTAATGGTCAGCACATCTACACCCAGCCAGCTGCTTTGCTTTAAATAGATCTTTGCCCGATTTCATTGTGCCTTCTCATTTCCAGGGAAAATGTGGAGGAGTTCAAGATAATTCATTGACTCACTCCACAAGTACCCTGCCAAGGAAAGCAGCAAGGCCATGGTTCCTGGAACACAGGAGTGAGGCCACGTACTGGACAGCAAGTAAAAGTGAGTCAAGCGTCCTCTGTGCCCTAGTCCTGGCAAGGGAATTGCCCTCTCCTCAAGGGCAAGATGGACACACACAGCCCCCTGAAATGTAGGTAAATTTCTGCACATTTATAAATCTGGCCCATCAGTCCCCTGAAATGTAGGTAATTTGCAGCTGGTGCTGGTAACATGGACCAAGGGGTGCTGGAGGCAGGGAGGCCTCGTGCAGCTCTGTGTCTGGAGGGTCTGGAGACCCTGCACTGCTCCAGCTCAGCAAACCATTTTGGACACTTCTCTCCAACTTAGGTGCGGGCTGGGTGTTACCTGCCCACCACAAATAGTAGACACAGCTCCCAATATTCTTCTGCCCCAAAGATCTCTGTATCCCTTTAAATCCCCTTGAACCCCTTCTGGACCTCCACAGAAGCCAGAGTGGCGTCCTGGTCATCCTGACAGGTTTTTCCTCTAGAGCCTTCTCTGGTTGGGGACACAGAGAATTACCTGAGATCCCTGAACAACCCTCTCCTTTAAGCTAAGAAGCCTTGGACTTTCTTATTCTCCCTGGGTGTGTTCTCTCCACATTCCCACCTTGCCACCCATCATTCCCCTACCAGCAGGAGCCTCCTCCTCACCCTTCCTCACCCCACCCCGGGCGCCCTGCTTCCCTCCTCCTTGGAGGCTCATGCCCAGTGGCTTTGCTGGTGCTTGCCTTCCACTCTGGTGAGTTTCATCCCTCTGCTGAGAACCCAGCAGTACTTCTGTCCTCCATAGAACGGCAGCGCCTTGAGGACAGGGACCAAGTCTTACCCTCCCCTGCTGTTCTCACAGCAGACAGAACTGTGAGAAGCCACACAGTGTGGCCTTCAGGGACAGCCTCCTCAGCTGTCCCCATCTCATTCTTTGATCACTATTTGTCACCTTCGTCACCACCCTTCCACACTGCCTCACAACAGGCTCCCTGACAGTCAGTGTTCTCAGGTACAAGCGGCAGGAACCAGTTGTGGCCGAGGTGCGGCTCAGACTCCTGCACAGGCTAGGGACCCAGGCCCGGGGCTACCCCACCAGGAAGAACACCCCAAGTAAGGCCACCAAATGGTCTGGGGGGCACCAGACACACAGCCTATACCTACGAGGCTACTGACATATGTGGGCCCTAGGGCTGCCACCAGTCAAGTTGCTGCCAAAACCCAGGAACCAGGCCCTATGGGGCCACTGGGAAAAGCATCTCTCACATGCAATCCAGAGTCTGGGGCCAGCTGACCAGCAAAGCTCAGGTCACAGGCCCAGGCCCTGGTGTCATAGAAGCTCGGAAGGAATTCTCAGCTTCTGAGGTGGGAAGCAGGGCAGGATTCAGGGGCCAGTTCTCTGTATTGGGCCTGAAGCCTGGGGTGAAGCGTCCCAGGGCCCTCTCCTGGGAGAGAGAAACCACACAGGTGAGAACACCTTGAAGGACAAGCCTGGGAACGAGGTGGTTTTGGGGATACATAGTCAAGTGAGACTGGAGCTCGGGTGTCACAGGTCTGGGGACAGCAGGGAAAGTGGTCAGGGTGCAGGGACATCAGGGCAGAGGATGTGGCTGGCTCAGACCATGGAGGCAGTGCTTGGCCACAATGGGATAAGGGAGCATTGGGGACCCTGGGTCTACTCACAGGCCCGTCACCTGCGGCCTCTCCAGGACTCTGACCGCAGGCCCCACTGAAGTTCCTCGGGAGGTGGGCCATATCCAACAGGGCTCAGGACTTGCCGACCCCTGAAGGGAAAGGCGGCTCGACAATGGCATTTGGGGAAGGAGTCTCATTCCCAAGTCACGCGTTCATCTTGACAAAGTTACCAGGCTGGAATGCTGCAGGGGAAACCCTCCCCTTCCAGGTTCTGTAAGTGGCACCCAAATTGTACACATCTATAAAAAGACTTTAAAAGGGGAACATCCACGGCCTTTCTCTCCACCTAATTTCTCGCACACATTTATGCGATTAATTTCAGTTTCTTAAAATCTAACACCTTGAAACTCCAGCACTGCTCATGAGTAATTATTTATAAACAGTGTCATAAAAGGCTGCTTGACTGCCAAGAGTAATCAACTTCTTCCAACCACTTCAAAGGAAATCAAAAAAACCTTTCCATCCACTGATCCTTTTGAGGTTTAACTAGGAGCATGATTTAAAATTCACAAGAACACCCTTAGGTATTGGAGCTCTAATACACAGCTTTCTTGGACAAACGTTTGATGAAAAACGAAACATACCATTATATACACCATCGCCTGCTTTAATATTGCCCAGGGCTACTGTAAATGCTCACTTTGTACTAAATCTGCTTTTCTCTCAGTGCAGGGGCTGCCAGCCCCCGTGTGCCACTCCTCATGTCTACACTCACCAGGACGAGCCGGAGCCTCTCTCCCTCCACACCAGTCCCCGCCATGCTGCCATGTGTCATGGTTAACCCCGTGCCTAGTGAGAGGAAGGGTCAAGGTCCTGGCTCCAGTTAACACAGGCTGCTGTGTAACTGGAAGGCGGCATGACGAGCTGACCCAGCCCCGGGGAGTGACACCCTCGGATGTCATGGGACCTTTGCTAGCCTCCTGGACTCTCTTCCAGAACTATCAGGATTGGGCTTCTCCCCTCTCCTAGAACAGCCACAAAAGCAAGGTTGTCTCCCTGTCTCCCCTCCTCTTGCCCCATTTTTGCTTTCTGTGTCTGGGGAGGCCGTGCAAAGGGAGGGAAAACCACAAATGTCCCTCTCTTCTTTTCATTTAAGTGGTTGGGACTTGAGCCAAGGACAAACATGTTCCAACATGCATAAAAGCTGCCAGCAAAAGGCCTGGGAGTGAGGGTGGAGGGCTGTGGGAAGCCGAGGTTACTGGGATCCAGTGACTCTACTCCCTGAGAGCATCTGGGCCAAAAAACTTGACTCCAGCTATTCAGGAAGACAGACAGGAGGCCAGCCCTCAGCAAGCAGGTAAACGAGACAGGTCTGGATCCTCTGGCTGTGCTTGAGAGCAATGAGGCAGGGGTGACGTGGAGAAAGCAGTAAAGGCTGTGAACAAACGGAAGGAGGCACCACGCAGTGGGAGGGGGTGACCAAGGGAGGAAGGCAGTGGCAGAGGTGGCTGTTCGGCAACAGCAGCTGTGCTGCATGCACACCAGAGAGAGGATGTTTAACATAAATCCTGATGAAGTGGACAGCCTGACACTGAAAGCAAGCACTGCTTATGTGATATGCAAGCATAATCCCAGCACTCTGGGAGTCCAAGGTGGGAGGATTGCTTGAGCTCAGGAGTTCTTTGAAGACCAGCCGGAGCAAGAAGGAGACCTCTTCTATACTAAAAATAGAAAAACTGGCTGGTGACTATAGCCTAGCAGCTAGGCTGGTGGGTTTGAACCTGGCCCAGCCTGCCAAACAACAACTAAAAGAAATAGTAGGGCATTGTGGCTGGCACCTGTAGTCCCAGCTACTTGGGAGGCTGAGGCAAGAGAATTGTTTAAGCCTGAGAGTTTGAGGTTGCTATGAGTTGTGACGCCACGGCACTGTACCAAGTGCGACATAGTAAGACTCTGTCTCAAATAAATAAATAAAAAGAAAAAAAGAAAAACTATCCCAGAATTTGGGTGGGCACCTATAGTCCCAGCTACTTGGGAGGGTGAGGCAAGAGAATCACTTGAGCCTAAGAGTCTGTAGTTGCTGTGAGCTATGATGCCACAGCACTCTACCCAGGACAATAGAGTGAGACTCTGTCTCAAAACAAAAGAATAAATAAAAAAAAAAAAAACAATGAAAAACATAAAGCAAAGATAGACTCTGCTTTAAACTTCAGGCTTTTGAATTTCCAGGCTGGGGGACTAGCTAAACCTTGAGCTTGGTGGTTTAAGAACACAGAGCATGGCACATACACAGGTTTTCAGACCAAAGGTAGAAAGTGCCAATGCAGCCCAATTTATCAGGGTTCAAATGGTTATACTGTCATAAAGCCCATTTTTTAATTTAAAAAGTCTCATTAGGCTTTGCACAAGTGTAAATTCAACATCTCACGCCCTGAAGGACCCCACTTGTGGGAGCATCAGGACGTGTGTGCCCTGGGCTGTCTGTCAGTGGCCATCACTGACTAGAAGCTTCATGGCCTCAATCTCACTTATGTGCCCATTTTACCAATGAGGAAATTGAGGCCAAGAAAGCAATGATCCCTCACCATCTCATCACATTTGAAGAGGAGAATGAATCCATGACCAGTGAATGGAAGGCTCCCTGACACTGAAGGACCCCCGCTGGCCGGACAGCAGGACAGGGCTCTGGAGCGGCTGTTTCTGGTCCTCCTCACTTCGTTTCTGTGTCACTTCTACTTTACTTCCTGTTGTTTCTTTGGTGGTGGCAGCAGGAGAGTTGGGTGTGGGCAGAGATGCTGACGGCAGCCCTAGGGTAACACAGCCCAGCAGCACCTGGGTGCCCAGTAGCCTGCTCAGCCTGGGCTGTGACAAGGGGAGGTGCAGAAGTACTTCCTCTGGCAAATGGAGCTGGAATCAGGGAGGCCTGGGAGAGCCTGGGTCTGTAGCCTAAGGCATGGCCAGGAAAAAAGGGTGGGCTTAACACCCCCTACTCCTCCACACACAGAGCAGGTGAATCTATAGCAGGCCATGTAATAAACAGTTATGCAGAGGAAGGAGGTGTCTGAGAAGGGTCACTGAAGGGCACAGTAAACTGTACCTGGATGTGGGGCTGGGGAAGAAGCAAGTGGGACAGCTTAGGAAAGGGGTGCTCCTGCACCCTCACCCAGCACTGCTCTACCTCCACCTGGGGTGTATGGGGCTCTTAGTCGATGTCAGCAGAACACAAGGAGACCCAGAGAATCGCCCGCTTGTGTGTAACTAGGGCCTCTTTGTTGGCCCTTTGCTGTCTTTGAACCTGCCTGCTTAGGTGGCAGGACCTAAGGAGCCCCTCACTCTGCAGCCAAGCCTGGAATCAGGACTTGTGTGTCCCACACATGGAAAAGGCCTGTGTGCCTGGAGTTCCTGAGGCTTGGAGCCTCCTCTCTCTAACCTTTTAAAAAAAACTATGTGGTGACATGTCTTACCTTGGGCCTTCTGAACCCCACTGCAGGGCATTTCAGGCCTCTGTCTAATTTCACTAGTGTTCTGGTAGCTCCTTCAAAGTAGGTAACGCTCCAATGACAGAAACATAACAACCCCAGGATACCAGTTCTCCCTGACAGCTCTCACATGACCGGGCTCACTTGGCAAATCCACTGTGGAACAGAGTGAGGGGCCTTCCTAGTGTGAGCCCCCCCACTCCCCGGTTCTGCATTCCAGCCTTGGGTCTGGCCCACCCGCATTCGTCGTCTGCAAAGGATCGGGGAGCTCTGAAACTCATTAACGCACTGGTAATGAGGCCATCGGAAAAGCCCCAGTGCTTCCTGTCTAGGCAGGCCAGAAACCAAATTTATACCTGACAAGTGGAGGGATCAGAGAGCTTAAACCCAATAGGCAACATCAGCGAGGGCAGGAGAAGGCATTAATAATTTATTCCATGGGCCATTCCGAGGTTTTCATTTTAATAAGTTGGCAACAGAATTTTTATTAGTTGTGCTCCAAGAAAATTAAGGAATTGTTAAATTAACCACCACTGCAAGTTGCCAAAACCCTCCCTCCACCCCTTGTGACCTCCCTCAGGCACAGGACAGACAGAGTTCTCATCTGTGCACAGGGCAGGGTAGGGTCTCTTGAGGAGGAAGAGGAAGCAGGAAGGAGGTACACCCAGTGCTCACCATTATCATTATTGCGATGCAAGTGCTTGATCATGAAAGGGATGGGTTCCTCGGGCTGGTGAATCAGTAGTTGTTCCAGCATGTTCTGTGGGCACAGAGCAGATGAGGCGGTCAGTACTTGTAGGAGCACCCTGGTCTCCATGGATACCAGCTATGAGGCATTTTCTCCCTGTACCCCACCAAAGATGGCTTCAACCTGGGACCCAGTCCTTGCCCCAGCTGGCATCTGCTTGGGTCCCTGTGAGCAGAGACATGAGATGGGCCGTGTGGATGCTGCTGGGGAGGCAGAGCTGGCAGTCCCAGGGCCCTCTCCCATGAGTCCCTCTGTGCTTCCCCTACAAGACTTCTCCCAGTTCTTCTCAGGCACTGCCATTCCCCCTCAGGGCCTCAGTGAATACTGTGCCCCAGCTCAGAATGCTTCTCCCTCATTCTTGGAAGGCAGCTATGCTCACCACTATACCACCAACCCTCTCCCTCATTCTTGTCATGGTTGACTTTTCAGTCCTCAGATCCCACCAGGAACATTCCTTCATTAGCACACGGACCAGGCAGGTAAATCTGTTGGATTTTCCTGCCCTCTTGGTCCCCATTCCTTGCCTCCCTTGTCCCTGCCCATCTGGCTACCAGCCCCCAGTGGCCATGGGCTCTGCTGGCTTCATTGTCTTCCTGGACACTCCAGTACCTGGCACAATCATGGCAGATAGCCAGTGAAGATGTCTGCTGGGGTTATGTGGCCATCACTATTACATGTCCCCCAGTATGGGACAAAATATTTACAGGCCAGTATCTGAATAGTCTTGGGATATTCTGGTCACTTAATCCAACTTAGGAAACATATCAAGGGAAACAGTGTGTAGGGTCACAGAACAAATGGCACAGAAATGTTCTGGGAACTGACAGGAGCTGGGCTGCGACAGTAAGTGGCATCTTCCTGCCCTAGGGACAAGCAGTGAAGGGCTTTCACCCTTTGGGGGTAGACGGAGTGTCTACCCATCATGAAAGGGATGGGTTCCTCGGGTTGGTGAATCAGTAGTTCACCAGCCTGAGTGAACAGTTCAGCAAAAAGACCACTGAACTGGGAGATGTCCTGGTTCTACTTGTAGCTATATCTCACTAGCAAATCCCTTCCCTCTTCTGGGCCTTACCTTCCACACATGTTCAATGGCACAGCTGGACTGAATGCATGTGATGATGAGAGATGATCCTAGACAGTTTACACATGAATATTTTTCATTTTATTTTTAAAGAGTTGCATATTTAATATGTATTGGAAAAAATAAGTACATCAAACATATAATTTCAAAGCTATTTCTAAGGATGAAGGAAAGTAGCTAATTTTTAAAAAGTGAGTCAAATTCAAGAAATGATTAAGTTAAAATAAAAATGTGGCTATGTATGTGAATCTATACACATGATAAAATTTCCTATGTACACACAACAAACAAATAAGTGCAGATAAAAATGAATGGAATCCAAATAAGGCCTGCAGCCCAGGTAAACATAGTGTAGCATTAGTCTCCTGGTTTTAACCAAGTACTACAGTTATGTTAGATGTAATCATTGATGGAGCCTGGAGCAAGGGCAGACCCGAAATCTATACTATTTTTTTTAACTTCCTGTGAGTCTAAAATCATTTTAAAGTAAAAAATAAGCCAGGCATGGTGGCTCATGTCTTTAATCCCAGAACTTTGAGAAGCTGAGACAGAAGCATCGCTTGAGCACAGGAGTTGGAGGCTGCAGTGAGCAATGATGATGCCACAGCTCTCTAGTGAGGCAACAGAGCAAGACCTTTATGCTAAAAAGCATAAAACATAGAAAAGGTCAAAACCAAGGAGGGAATAGACAAATGACTAAGGACTGGAAATACTGGACTGAATGTTTTCTTGAGCAGCTCCCCAGACAACTACTATTGAAGACACTCCAGATGTCTAGAGCAGACCACAGGGCCCCCAGAGCTCCACCATTCTACCCAGTACCACCAACCTGTAACCTAGCCAGCTATTTTACTTGTGATTGGGCACTCAAGCAGTTTTAGAAACTCTCCCTTCTCTAAGTTAACATTTTCCAAAGGAAGCATATATTTGCTGAGGGATGGACTTAGGTTTTGTAGCCTGAGCTCAGCTCTCTAGTGTGGAAGTCAGAGGCTCACATGACCAGAGGCATAAACACGCTAAGTCCCTGGGGATGGGGTGTACGTATCCCCAGAAATAGACAAATGTTCTGGAATCTGAGCTCCAGCTTCCCTTTGGCCCTCAGAACTTTTGACTGACTGAGAGTTCTTCCAATCTAGCTCCCAGAAGTCTTTACCTGCTGCACTGGCTTCACAGGGAAAACGGGCACAGGAGAGGGCACACTTTTGTCTAAAGTCACTCTGTGAGGCGGCGGCCCAGACAGGCCTAGAACCCAAGATAAGCGCTTGGGACACCTGGCTCCAAGGAGGGGTCAGGATGGGAGATGCTGCTGCCCCTGGAGGCAACTGTCTCAGAGGATGGGGATGCCCCCTTGAGCCCCCAAACCGGTAATGAGAGGCTCCCCCACACAGTTCGACAGACTCAGAATTGCCAGCGCGGGAACAGCGCCTAGAAGATCACCTTTTGCAACGCGTTATTTTCCAGGTGCAGCAACCGAGACAAGGGCCCTGTTGTAGACCCTAAGGCCACCTGGCGTCAGAGCCAGACTAAATCCTGGCCCAAATGGCCAGGATAGTGGTGGCCTTTCCTCCCACCAGGCTCCGCCCGAGGCAAACCCGGGCAGGGCCAGGGGGCGTCTTCAGCTCTAGGGCGCCCTTGGGTCACTGCGATACAAAGCTATCAGACATCCAAAGTGGGCTGCCTTGTGGGTTTGCGACTCGGCCCCGCCAACTGCAGGTCCTCGTCGCGCACCCGACATCACGACAGAGATTTCCCCGCCGCCGCCTGTGTCGTAATAGGGCAGGGAGGGCCGGGTCACCTGCATCAACTCGAAGATGTGGTTCGCCTCCCCGTACTGAGGCATTTCTGCGGGGATGAGGTGCGGGGCAGTGGTAGCATCCATGGGGCAGCCACAGTACACCACTCCCTAGTAACTGCGTCGCTAGGGCCGCCGAGCGGTTGCGTCATCACCGAGCGCCTCTCCGCCCCGCCCGTTCTCAGGCCCCGCCCCCAGGCTCACGACGTCTGCAGGCCCCGCCCGTCTATATGCAGAGTCCTCCCTCCCTCCTCAAGCCGCACCCCTCGGCCTAGTCCCCAGCGTCTGGCGCGCTAGCCGGCTCCCTGACCTGACCTCGTCTGCAGACGCCGTCCGCGGCTTGGCGAAGTCCTTTCCTCTCCCCTTGCTTCGCTATGCCTATCGGTGCACATTAGCGGAGTGCACCGTCAGGTCGCTTCCAGCCGGCTGTGTGGGATCAGGGATGCGCCCCGCGAGGCCTCCCCCAGTGCGGAGACCCCTGTAACGCCGTGGAGGGGCAAGTCGGAGGGGCAAGGTGCGGAACTTGCCTCTGGTTCAGTCACTGCAATCTGACCCTGGCCGTAGAAGTTTCATGGGCCAGTGTTTGGGCCTCAGTTTCCCCCTCTTTAAGATGAAGATCGTAGACTAGGTGCGGGGGAGGGTCCAGCTCCGAGCCCGCAGACCCCACCTCCCGCTCTCGGGCGGGGCAGCGCGACCACGTGACCGATTGCTATGGCCGCGGGGGTAACAATCAGGCCGCGGCCCCTCCCCCTCGCCCGCACCCCACCTCCCAAGTCTCCTCGGGGCGCCAGATTCCCACGAGTCACCCAGCTTCTGGGTGCTCTGTGAAGCCGACACGCTCCCGACCAGCTGGGGTAAAGAGGGCCGACGCGGGCGCAGCCAGGCCCCGGGGCGCGGGAGAGAGAACGGGCATGGGAGAGAGAACGTGGAGGGGGCGGAGGATGGAAGGGGCTGCGCGGGCGGCTGTCCCTGGAGGGGTAGGCGTGAGACGCCACGGGGAAGGGAGTTTGTGGGTCGTATTCGTTCCGCGTGGAACGGGGTGGCCCGGTGTTTGTCGCAGCACCCAACTAGGAGCTGTAGTGCACGAGGTAGTCATAGAAGCCACCGTGAAGTGAACGCTTACATTGTGCTTTTCACAAAACTCCTGTGCGTTACGGAGCGGGGAGTAGGGCACGCTCAGACAGTCCCAAATTCAACTCCAGGCGCAGTCTGAGCAGGACAAGCTATTGACTTGTCCTGTGCCTCCCTTCAGTCCCCTGTGAAGTGGGGACTGTAGAAGGGTCTTGCTGGCTCCGGTCTTGAACCTCTTAGCAACTGGCATGCATGCCTAAGCACAAGAGGTCGCATGGGCTCACTTAATCCGTGAAGCAACCCTGTGAGACAGGCGTCTCCATTCCCATTATATGGATGAGAAAGAGCAATTGGCTGGTGCCTTTGGGGCCCCTTGCTGGGCCTTTCTGAGCCTCTTAAGAGTATTGGGATCAGAAGCCCCCATGAAGAGCCTCTAATGTAAACTCCCTCATTTTACAGATGGATAAACTGAGTTCCAGAAAAGGGAAAAATCTTGGCTCAAAGTCTCTGGTTAAATCAAAGGCAGGGTCAGGGCTTGAACTAGGCATCCTGACAGCAGCCAAAGCCCAGAGACATGCCTTCCAATGGTGTTGGCTCTTCCCCCAAAGCCACTTCCTCAAAGTGTGCACACACCTTGGTAAGCTTGTCAGTCCCAACTGTAAAGATAGCCGTGGAAGAAAAGGAAGCTGCCTCCCCCTGCACAAAGAACTCAACAACCAAGCCCGCAGTTTGCACGGGAGAGGTTCAGTTTGCTTCCTGGACATTTCTGAAGTGACTTGCCTTTCTCCTCATTTATTTTAAGCCCTAGGCACTTTTCATACCATGATTTAATCTTCTTTAGCAGCCTGGAAAAATACAAATCAATTAAAGCCTAAAACCTATTGGGTAATCATTTTTTTCCTCCCTCCTCCCCTAGATTGAGAAGTGCTTGCGCCCTGTGCCTTTCATCTACACTAATTTGGCTGCAGTGGCTCTCGTTCAAGGGACGATCACTTTGGATAGCTTATTACAGCTCCTCTCATGACATTCCTGGTGTGCATGTCACAAGTTGCTAGGATCAAGAACGAAGTCAGTTTTGCTCTCAGGGACTCTTGGGGCCACCAGCCAAGGTAGCACTGTATCCCTGGAGGACTTGGCAGCCCCAGGAAACCCCAGGAGGGTGGCAGGGAGCCGGGCACACAAAAGATGGCCCCCTGAATGTTAGTACTCATTGCTTTGGGATGAGGAATATGAAAGGTCTAGTGGGAGTAGAAGTGGGGCTCAGGGGCCCTGGGGTCCAGCTAGTGGATGGAGCCAAGGAGAGGTTGGCAGCATTTCAGGCCTTTGGTGTTCTCCTCCGCCCTCGCCCCCCCCCCCACCAGTCAGTCTGATGTCTGGTGTGTTTTCTCTTTAAATCCTGTCACTTAGAGAGGGGAGGGAGAAGGCACATAGCCAAGAGCCCAGTCTAGCTTAGCAAGAAGTCCTGGCTTATGCACTTCCTTATCTGTCATGTGGGAAAATGATGGTACCCCCTTCTAGGGCTGTGGTGATGACTTAACGCATGTCCAGAGCCCTGTCAGTGACCTGCCATTCTCCAGGATTGGAGTGAGCGCCCTTCTTCAGGCCAGAATCTCATTGAGGACTGGCATATCGTTCGGCCTGCCTGTACCTAGCCTCCTCCTCCTGCCAGTGGCCCTCTTCCCCAAGGTCCCACCACTTCCCTGCCTTATGTCCTAATCGGAAGTACTATGTATTTCGCTGTGGGTATTGTCTGCCTCTAGGGTGGGGAATCTGGTCTGTTCTGTCCAATGCTGGACAGCCTAGCACCTGGTAGGGCCTGGCCTGCAGAATGAATGAAGGAATGAGTGAGTGAGCACATGAGGTGTTTCCACCCGCTCAGCTTAGAAGCATTCAGAGTCTTCCAGACACAGACTCCTACATGGGGTCCTTCGACCTGACTCCATCCACTGTCCTCTTCTGTGCCTGCTCACAGTATTTTCACATCCCTGCTCCCCAACCCCCCGCCCACCTGCTCCACCATCAAGACTAGGTTCAAACGTCCCCTTTAGGCCAAGCTCGCAGCAGCCCCTGCTCCTTTTGAGGCACACGCCAAGCCTGCTGTGGCATCCCCACCACCACATTAATCACAGTAGCACTGATGGCTCCAATGATGCCCCCCCCATTCCTGGCTCTAGGGTTCACACCTTTTACCTGTTGTCCCGTGTGACATAGGGCTGGAAGGCTGGAAGGCTGATGTTACGGCCTCCTGCCACATGATGGACACCAAGGCTCTCAGGGGGTGAACAGTGTGCCATAGTCAGCAAAAAGGGACAGAGCCAGGATTTGAACACAGGTCTGGGTGACTCCAGGGCCTTCTTAACTGCTGCCAACCACAGCCCCGAATATCATGGGGAAAGGCCAAGCCAAAGGGAACATTCCCTCCTCCCTGGACACCTGCCTTTGTGCCACTCTCCAGATTTTCTGGAGCTTTACCTTCAGAGTCATCTGTGAGTCCTGAGGCAAGATGGGGGAGCAGGTGAGGCTCCCACCTCGGGGCAAAGTTTAAGAGGCCGACAAAAAAAACACATAGGATACATATTTTAATTTTGTATTTTTTAAAAATCAAAATTAGTGCCAATCTAAAAAGTCCACTTCAGAAATTAAATAAAGAAGTTTCTATATTACTGATGTTTCCTTGTGCCTCAGGCTGTAATATGGCAAGGCCCAGCAATCCTGTCTGGGGAATGAGCATGACCACATCTCTTTAAAAAAGCCCCCAAACTCTCCCCATGACCCCCATCTCTTTAAAAAAGCCCCCCAAGAATTCTGATTTGGTTCTTGCACTTAGTGTTAACTTTTGTTTTACTATTTTTATCTGGATTGCTGAAGGTTTTGACATTCCCCTAAATTCTGCATGAAGGTGAATATCTCCCTTGCCTCACCCTAGTGGGGTCTTGGTGAGCTTGACATTGTGGACAACAGGAAACCCCTGTGCCCGAGTTGGTGCTGTCTGCCCCACGGGGAGGGTACCAGCCACTGGTGCGGCGGGTGTCTGATAAACCTGGGCCCCCACCATTCCTGGAGCCTGGGCTGCCTTTCCCTCAGGCAGGCTGAGCTGGAAGGAGGCCCCAGCCTAGGCCTACAGCAGGAAGCGGTGGCTGCCTGGAGTCTGTCAACCACACCAATCTGTGGCTCTTGCTGCAGGCACACTGTATTTCCAGTCAGTCCCCCAGGTGTGTAAGGTGTCACTGTCAGGGTCAGCTCCACCTGGGCTCTGCCTCACTGAAGGGCCCAGTCTTCTCCAAGTTCTTTTACTTACTCTGTCCATGGTTTCACGGAGGCCACCGTCTGGTCTATTCCCAAGTTGCTTTTCATTCCCCCGATGCCGTCTCTTCTTGCCACAGAGATCCCTCACCACTGGGTCAGAGATCCCAGACCTAGCACGGCTATGGACACAGCAGAAATGCCTCCTGGCTCTCTCCTGTTCTTGCTCCTCGGACTGGGACCTGCCTGGAAGCCTGGAATGTGCCTTCCTCCCTTGCCAAGTGTTCTGGCCCCTTCCACTTCCAACATCTCACTTGGACCCTACCTTGGCACAGCCTCCCCTGAGCCCTGCTCAGATGGCACAGGCCAGCGTGTTTGAGCCTGGACTCCCATGTGTTCTGGTAACAGTGGAGGGAAAGTTGGATGTGACAGCAGTGAGGATGCTGGTTAGATGTCAAGAAGCCTGGGAACCAGTGTCTCTGCAACAAACTTGCTGTGACACCCTGGGCGGGTTCCTTCTCTCTGAGCTCCTGTGGAAGTTTGGAGGTGTGGACCAGCTAACATCCCTTCCAGCTTGAAAGCTGTGATCTGGAGAGTTATGCCTGTGCTCAGCAGAACTGTGATGTCATGGAGTACAGAACCCACAGCCCTTTCTGCTCATAGGATTCCAGGCGCATTGTGGACTGCCTGGATCACAACAGGGCCAATCTGTGAGGCACCAAAAGAGAGCACGCCCCACAGTGTTAATGCCACTACCCAGGGTGACTCCAGCAATTCACACTAGAGCAGGGAAGAGTGTGCCAGCCACCAGCCCTGCCCAGGGAATCCTGCCCCAAGCACAAAGCGGGAGACCCGAATCTTCTCAGACTAGATAAGCAAGTGTTGACTCCTCTCCTGGTGCCCTTCCCATCAGTTGCAGAGTGGCAGATGTTTCAAGATAATTTGGTCCAAACTGATAATCAGCTGGTTTCCCATTCTGTGGCATGTCCTTTGACCCCAGCTTTAGCTGACACCTCAGGGAGGCACTGGAGGCTGTGTGTGTGCATGTGTGAGTGTGTATAGATGCCCACAAACTGCAGAAAGTGAGGACCAGAGACACTGTCCACAGCTGGGAACAGAAAGTCCTATTTCACGGCAGAGAATGTATCCATGGAGGGTAAATGTCGAGGGTCAGCCTAGCTGTTGTGGACAGCCAGGGGGGTCCTGAGCAATAGTACAGCCTCCCAGGGCCTCGTCTCTTTTCAGCAAAAGGGGATGAAAACAGCCCCAGCCCCTCAGGGCTGTGGGGAAACTGGGCCCAGAGCTCCACAGAGAGGGCTGCGGACATCCTCAGCACAGAATACTCCCTTCTGGAGCTGGGGCCCTCATCACTTTCCCCTCCCTCCCTGTAGGCTCCTCGTGTCCCGAGTGAGCGTAGACAGGAACGATGAACGAGGTGAAGGAGTCCCTGCGCAGCACGGAGCAGAAGTACAAGCTCTTCCAGCAGCAGCAGTTCACCTTCATCGCCGCCCTGGAGCACTGCAGAGAGAACGCCCACGACAAGATCCGGCCCATCAGCAGCATCGAGCAGGTGCCCCAGCTGGGGCTGGCGGGTGGGGGCCAAGGGTCTGCCAGACTCATAGTCCTGGGCCTCACCAAGCCCAGTCCCCCATCTCGAGGTAACTGAGGCCCCAAGATGGGAAGGATGTTTGTGCCACGACCAGAACCCGGGTCCTACATGGTGGAAAGAGTCAGTCATTCACCCCCCACCACCCCACCCCGAGTGCTGGAGTGAATGATGCAGCTCCAGACTCAGCCAGCCAGGGTTCAAATCCACCTCTGTCCCCCGGGCCACTGAGTTTCCCTCTTTGTGCCTGTTTCATCATCTCTAAGTCATCATGACTAGTAGGATTCATCTATGGCTGGACAGACGTGGTCCCTGCTATCAGATTCTACTTGGGTTTGAGAAACTGCGACAGGCTGGGCACCTTGCTAGTCACTGCCACAGGTGTTTTTATTTCCCCTGCATCTCTTTAAGGGTTAGCTGCTGGCAAGGGCACCGTAGGACTTAAGGGCCTCAAGATGACACAAGCTTCCCAGGGAGTTGGGGGCTTGAGCCACGGTGCAGTCAGGACACACACAGGCCAGAACCCCTGGGAAGGAAAAGATGAAGAATCACTGCTCAGGGAGGGCTGGGAAGGGAAGTCAGGGCTCACAGCTGCTTAAGAGAAGCCGGGTCTTGGAGAGCAAGCAATCCTTGCTGGCAGTGTCTTTAAAAACTAGTTTTGTGGCCAGCCTGAGCAAGACTCCATCTCTAAAAAAGAATAGGCAGGTGTAGGGGCGGGCATGTGTCGTCCCAGGTACTTGGATCCTCGGCAAGAGGATCGCTTGAGCACAAGAGTTTGAGGTTGCTGTGAGCTGTGACACCATAGCACTCTATGAGGGCAACAAAGTTGAGACTATCTCAAAAAAAAAAAAAACTTTAGGGTGGCATCTGTGACTCAATGGAGTAGGGCACTGACCCCATATACCATAGGTGGTGGGTTTAAACCCAGCCCCAGCCAAAAACTGCAAAAGAAAACAACAACAAAAAAAAAACTTTAATTTTTGTTAGATTCCCCCTCGATTTTTTAGCTTGAACAACATTAATGTACAGAAGAAGAGCAACCAGAACCTTCCCCTAGTCTCACCAGTTTGTAACACTGAGCCCCTGTGCTGGTGCATGTGCCTCTGAACTACCCCAAAATAAACTGGCTACATCCTTTTTAGCCCATCCCACAGCAGCTCAGCCTTCTAAGAGCACTAGACAGATTTTCAGTATCTAAAAGTATCTCCTTCCTCCTCCCCACCCAAATCTACATCAGTGCTGTGTGACCCCTGCCCACTCCCCTCTACATGAAAAGGAAGGGCCTTCTCGCCTGGGACCAAGCAGCGGCCTGTGTTCTGACTTCACCTGGCATGTTGGGGCCCATTCTCCACCTGCCCTGAACCAGAGTGTCCAAGGCTACCTGCGCACACAGCAGCTGCTGTGTTGTGGTTACAACACAGAGCAGGTTCCTCCTCACCCCCCTCCCCGCCCTGGTGTGTGTGCCTGGCAGTGTGTGGGAAGGCACCACTTTAGATCATGTGTGAAGCCATCCCTTAGCAACAAAAAGGTGACTGCAGCAGGAAGGGGACCTGCAGCCGCAGGGCCACACATGGCCTTCTGGGTCCTTGAGTGAGACCTTTTGACTGAATTTAAGATCGAGTTTGGATTCGGTTGAGGGACTGTGCGCTCTTGGAGATCTAGAGGGCCACATGTGGCCTTGAGGCTGCAGGTCCCTCCACCCCGGGTGATACCCCCTCCATCATCAGATCCTCGACAGGACAACTCTGTGGAACGGGTCATGTTGATACCGGAATTTCGTCTTGTCTCCTGGCTGGCTCGCCAAATCTGATTACCGGACTTTCAGGTTCTTGGTCTCGGTGATTTGAAGAATAAATCCGCAGACCATAGATCAGTGGCAAGACAGAATTTATTTACAGAAAAGAATACAAAAACAGTAAAGTTCCTAGTAGGGAGAGAAAACCCTAGTTGGGAGAGAAAAGCTCTGTTTCTCTCTCCCTCTAGGGGTATATATAGGTGCATGGCTTCCTTCTATATGAGGCCAGGAAATGAATGGACACAGTCTCTTCCTCTGGAGCAAGGTGAATGAATGTACTAATGAATGGACACAGTCCATTCACAGAACTGAGGCCTAGGAAACTTACATGAAATTGACCTAGGCATAGGAAATGGGGGTTCCATATTTAGTCATAAGTGTAAAGGGGAAGGAGACACCAAGGTGTTGGTGTCTCCCCAGCAGTTGTCTGGTCCCTTTGGCTATAGGAGTCTCTGGTGGGGGAGGGAGGCTCCCCCCCTTGCCTATGCTCCAGCCCCCTGGTTCCTCTGCCGGCTGCCACTGCACCAACACCGCTAAGGCGGAGGCAGCAGGTCCTCCAGCCCAGCTTGGTTGAGCTGGCTGGGGCACCACCTGTCCTGTATCAAGGTGATCTGGCCTGGACCAGAGCCTGTTTCTCCCCCAACATAAGATGAGGCCTGCTGCCCTGGTCCCACCTGAGGAGAGTCACTGGGTGGCCCCAGGCAGCCCTGAAGAAAGGGGTGGGGGTAGGAAGGACCAGCCCCCAGTGAAAGGAGCTAAATATAGATGAAGTCAGTGTTCCTGTGGCATCAGAAGCTTTCTATACTCCCACATCTAAAACACTCACATGGGTGTTTTATTTTTGGTATTTAAGCTCTAGGTCTTCCCAGAGCGGATTTGTTGATTGTGTTTTCCTTGCATGGTAATCATGTTCCCCAGCTCCACCTGGTGACCTCTCCTTTCTCTACCTTGGCTTAGAGCCCAAAGGACTCAAGCTCTGCCTATCTCCTCAGTACAGGCAGCCCAACCCAGCAGTTCTCAGGACGGGTCCTCCATGTGCCACGATAGCATGAAAAGTCCAGGAAAGGAGCAGTGTCCTCTGCTTTAGGACGTGGTTGGTTCAGGTGTCACAGCCAGTGACACAACTGGCAAGGGGCCTGGCTCAGCGCCACTGAGCTGGAGGCAGGATCCAGCTGAGCCCCTAACACCCATGCTCTGAGCAGGTTATTTTCCCTGCTGGAGCCTCCAGGATTCACAGTGCTGTAAAATGAGGGTTAGAAAAGGTGGCTACTCAGCGTGGGGGGTTCAGGTAGGGAGTGAGTGGGACCAGCCCTGCAGGCCACCTTGTGCAACCTGGGTGCTGGCTGTACATAGTGGGCGTACATCACAGTGCTTCAGCATTACTCTCACCCCCTAACCCCTGTGACTCTGAGAGGGTGGGAGGGGACAGTGTGGCGCTACTGGACTGCGCCTGAGCCAGCTCGCGCTGTCTGGCCCTCACAGGTGCAGAGCTACATGGATCACTACTGCAACAACTCCACCGATCGGCGGATTCTGCTCATGTTCTTGGACATCTGCTCCGAGCTGAGCAGGCTCTGCCAGCACTTTGAGGCCCTGCACTCTGGCACCCCGGTCACCAACAACCTCCTCGAGAAATGCAAAACCCTCGTTAGCCAAAGCAATGACTTAAGCACCCTGAGAGCAAAGTAAGTTGCTTCTAGTCCTGTCCTCAAGGCCTCAGCATGTGCTTGTGGGGAGGCTTTTGCCAAGGAAGCAGGTGACTGTACTTTTCTTTCTTCTGTTGCATGGATCACATGGCTACTGTCCAGTCTGCCTGGGGGTGGGGGAGGACCCTAGACCCCATTAATTTACTGGAATGTTTCTAACTCAATGAAACGTCCTCTTTAAAACTGGTTGTAGGACGTAACACATCTCACTGGAGTTAGCACCAAGCAAAGGGAGAGGGGTCATAGAACTGTTGTTCCCAGAAGCCCACAAAGATTTTCACTGCTATGCACAGCAGCCGGGCCCTGGAGGAGCCACTTCCAGGGGCAGTGGGGAACCCGATATACAATATGCCAGAGTCCCGAGTTAAAGGGAGACTGGATCCTGCAGGCTCCACAGCCTGACCCAGGTGCTATACATCATGGGTCAGCAGTTTACAACTCACATCTGGCCTCCCTAAACCTGCTATAGCAGTCTTTGGGGACAGAGAGCCTTAGCACGGTGTGAGTCCAGTTCCGTTCTGAGGCCTGGCAGCTGCCTGCCACAGCCTGGGGAGTCCCCGAGCATAGGCTCACCAGTGCCCCCTTGTGCCTGCAGATACCCCCACGACGTGGTGAACCATCTCAGCTGTGATGAGGCCAGGAACCACTATGGAGGAGTGGTCAGCCTTATCCCCATCATCCTGGATTTAATGAAAGAATGGATCGCCCACTCAGAGAAGCTGCCCCGCAAAGTGATGCAGCATGTGAGTGAGCCCCAGGCACACCACGGAGCCAGCGGGAGAGCCACTCGTCCTGCCCAGGCCACAGGCACCCAGCCTTGGTCCAGAAAACACAAGTGTAGGCAACTCACAAAAGACAGGGGGAAAGACAAAGGATGTTCCAAACCTCCCTGGAGACCGCCTCGTGGGAAACTGTAACTCAGAGCCAGGGGCCTGCTGGCACTTTGCTACATAACTGGCTTTCCCTGGCTCATCTGCTTTCTTTGGCACCCATAGAATTTGCCATAGTAATCGCCATAGTCCTTGCCACATCTAATCCCAAAAGAGATCAGCTAACACATTACTGACAACCCCCCTCCCTCCCCTGCTTTAACTTCTAACTCTTCTACCTCTAAGCATCAGCTTTTGTGCTGATGAAGAGGCTCCTGCTTACAGGAGTTGCCCAGAGCACAGAGAGTGGTAATGAGGGAGGGCACTGGGCTGCACCCTCAGGTTCTCTCCGAGCCATAGCCCCCAGAGTGCCAGGCCCACCCAGGTGTGGCCCCCAGCTTTACAGTCAGCCATCAAGCTGGAAGAGACCATTAGCTCCTTGTCCTCCCACCAGTCCCAGCTATAAGCAGGGCACACACTGACACAGGGTGCTCCTGCCCAGGATGCAGTGAGGTCAGCATGCCGAGCTCCTCAGTGCCTCTACTTCTTTTTTTTTTTTTTTTTTTTGAGACAGAGCCTCAAGCTGTCCCCCTGGGTAGAGTGCCATGGCATTACAGCTCATAGCAACCTCCAACTCTTGGGCTCAAGCGAGTCTCCTGCCTCTGCCTCCCAAGTAGCTGGGACCACAGGCGCCCGCCACAACGCCCGGCCATTTTTTGGTTGCAGCCATCATTGTTGTTTGGCAGGTCCGGGCTGGGGATTCGAACCCGCCACCTTAGGTGTACGTGGCTGGCGCCTTAGCCGGTTGAGCTATAGGCGCCGAGCCAGTGCCTCTACTTCTTGAACCCACCTCTGCCTCTCCTTTACGTGAGAGGGGGTACCATGCCAGAGGCCAGAAGAATTCTGATTTTATGGCTTCTGTACAAGGACAATGACCAGGTCTTCACAGTATAGTTGATCCCCAGACATTATAAAATGTGTCCCTGGTGTCTGAACTTGCCCAAAGTAAAGTCTGACTGTTGGTTTTTCCCTTCACAGGGGACGACTTAGCTTCTGTATTGTTGCCTCCTCAGGGGGAGAGAGTCAAGAATAAAAAGTGTCCTACCACCTCTCTGCCTGGCTTGGTTTCCTGGGATTTACCCCTGAAAGAAAACTTACATTTCTCCTAAGACATCCAAGGACACTGGGTAGTAGCCTCACAAGCAGAGCCACGAGCAAACCGCAGAGAGAAACCACTGCAGGCAGGTGCAGCCCATCTTAACAGAGCCCACTTCTAAGAGGCTCACGCAGGCAACCCCCAGAGGGACCACATTTAGACATTCCTCCAAGGGTGGACAGTCTTGTTAGAGTCCTATTCAGACAAAAAAGCCTGAATCTTCCAGACAGACTAAAACCTGTCCCCTCTGAGTCTCTGACTCAAAGGAGGTGCTTCCATAGTGGGATAGGCAGAGTAATACTGACTTTCAGGCACAGCCAGGCAGAGGTAAGTAAGTGGCTGAGAGCCACGTCGACCTCAGCCCATCACCCTGGTCCTTGTGCACATGTTCAGGCCAAGAGACCCTCAGGCCAGGGTGATGCTGACACTGGTAAAGGCACAGTTTTTGAGCCTTCTCCCACAGCCCTGGAGAGCACAGAGAAGGTGGATAAAGTGGCTACAGCTGCTTCCTTGGCACACTCTCAAAACAACCAGCACAGCTCACGTTGGTGAGCGCTGGGACACTGTCAGTGGGTCTCCACCAAGCCCAGCGTGCTGGCCAAACCCTGGGAAAGCAAGCACCAAAGGCAAGGCTGGGGCAGCAGAGTCTGCAGGCGGCCTGGTTTTGGAGCTTGCTCTGGGAGGGGAGTCTCAAGTCACCCTCTTACCACACCTGACCACCTGGCCACTTTTTGTGGCAGAGCATGAATTTGAGGCAAATAAAGGTAGAATCTGTGGCTGTGTGCCACATAATTTACCAGAACAAAAAGGGCCTTAGAGACAAATGCCTGAATCTATCTGTCAGCCCCTCCCCTAGCTGCTGGAGGCCACTGTACCCTTGGACTAGGGCTGTACTTCACCTCTGAGTCACTCCAGGTCAACACTGCAGAGTAGTGCAAAACAATAAATTTTTATTTGTTCACAGTTAAACACAAGCAACTGCCTTGACATTTTAGAACATTCTAAGAAGGACAGCAAACCCTTTTGATTCCGATTCCATTCACTAAGATTGTACCATTTTCTTTTGCAGTTCATATTTATGGCATCTGATGTGGATTGTTTGACATGCTTTTAAGATCGTGGTGGGAAAGTTTAAACCTTTTTTGACAAGAGATGACGTTCTCCAATTTAACTAAAAGCAGTCAGTTAAAAAAAAAACTTTCTTTTCACTGATGGGACCCTTTAAATTACAAGTTAGCCACATATGGTTCATCCATGATTGAGTTATAAAACTAGATTATGTCTTAGCAAAATCTGTTCCTCCATGATATATTTGTGGTCCATAGAAGTCTTCTGAAAAGTGATCACTGATTCTTCCTAGTGCAAAATGCATGGCTGCTTCCTCTGATAAGCCAAAGTATCTGCTACACAGAGCAGCACCTCATCCTCCTGTCCAACACTGTATTGAGGTGGGGAAGGGAAGGGAGGGGCTGGTCTAGGGGCTCTCAAATTCTTGGGGTCTCTCCTCTGAAAGATCTACTCCAATGGTTAAAGCAGCCTACTTATCCCAAAGGATAATTTTGTGACATTGGGAAGAGGGGAGAAAGCTCTTCTACCTTCATTAACTCATTTCAAGACCCAAAGCAGATGTGGGTGTCGGTGCTCCACTATGCCAGGCAGGTTCCCCTGGTGTCTACTGCCACTCTCCTCTCAGGTGAGAGGACACAGACTGGACTCCTCTCAGGTGTAGGACAGTGTGGGAAAGACAGAAACACAAACCCCTGGGCACACTGGAGAGTCGGAGACAGGGAGAGGAGCTGCTTGGGGACAAGGGTTCACAGCAGCAGCCTAGGGGCCAGTCCTCAACCTAAGGAAAGCTTAATCCAGTGCTGCAATCGGCGAGTCTGCAGCCGACTACGGGGGAGGGATCAGGGACGTGTGCCACAGAACCCTGGGCGTAAACAGATACATGTCATCTTCAGATTCGATACATCTTCTCACTCATCGCAAGTCAATTTTAAAGCATGTACCTCGCAGTGTGAAGATGCAGCCGACAGGGAGCACTGGTGTCACTGCACACGGGGCAGCTCTCAGTGGGAGCGGCAGAGCCCCCTGGGTGGGGCCAGGAGCTCTCCGGGAGCATCTGTGACAGCTGCTGGCAGCACTCCATCGCCACCCAGCCACAGAAGCTTCACCCTGCCCAACCCCCCTCCACCCTGTGCATACCTCCTCCCACCTAGTAGTGCTTTCAGTAGGAAAAGCTGAGTGTTTATTGTCACGTGGTACTTTTGCTTTCAGTTCTTTCTGGCCGCAAGTGGCGTGTTCTAGTATTTGGTAGAGGTTCACATCGGCTAGTCACAGCACACTGCGGCTGTGCTGTCCATGCAGAAACACACACCCAGTTTTCTATTCCTAACTGTGAGTCCGAGCCCCTGTGCTTAGACATCCTTTCAGCCTCGTGACCATGTGTGTTCGCCTTTGAGTTTATCTTTCTCAAAAACACACTGGAGACTATGTGTGCTGCTGCGCACAGGGACAGCACGAGAGCCTGGGGTTTGTGTCCTGTGGTTCTGCTGTGTCCTCTCTGGCCACGCTCTGCTGGGCTATTTCTTCTCATTGTCGCCGGCTCCCAGGGCCTCTTTCTAGGTTGTGGCAATTTACCTTCTAGAGACAGTTTGGACTACTTTGTCCTAACAATATCACATAAATATTGGCTCACAAAGTAGTGCATTTATTATCTTTCCACTCATAGAGCCTCATAAGAACTTTCTGCAGATCATTCCCAAAAGTTGGGCAGTTTTCTCTCCTGAAAAACTCTGCTGGCAAACCCAGCAAAGTCACTGTCTGCCCACCAGCTATAGTAACACTGGTCCTAGCACATATTTTAAAACTTGTTGATCCAAGAAATGACCTTGATCCTACCTTTGGGTTCAGTCAGTTTTCTTATATTCACAACCACATATTTCTTCCAATTCCATAGTAACAATTTTTATAGACTTCATGGCAGAACCTTGTCAAAAACTTTTGAAAACTCCCTAGAAGTTCTGTCAAATAGAGATCCATATGCTTCTTCACCTCTGGAGATCGAGGGACTGAGGACCTCACTTTCTCTGTACCTTGCTATTGCCCTGGCCCCCAATGCCACAGTGCTCCTTTCAAAAAACTCCATGCTACACGAGAAACAGACTCTTTTTCTCGGGGCTGGGTTGCCCCTGGGTAGCGTCAGGTGGGAATGAGAGTAGGTTATGACAAGGGCCAGACATCTTTGGCCTGGTCCACTTGCCCATGGTGAGTTCTGGATGGGGCCTGTCCAATCCCAACATTATGATACCAAGCTACTTGATCAGTTTCAAGACAGGCTCTGCCTCAACAATAATGGTTCTAATGCCTTTGCCCAGCCTGAACTGCCTCCCGAGAGTCCTTCTACCACCCCCTTTCCATCCTAAAACTACCTGCTACAGCAAATCAAGTACTCCCCGGACTCCTGTCGGGTGTATCACTTCTAAAGAACAATATTAATAAAACCTTACTGATGACCTGGGAGTCCTCTGCAATGGGAGAGCCTACATTATTAGGCTGGATAACCTCAATGCGACTCCGGGTCTCAATCCCCTAACATTGGTTGAATAAAACCCACAGACTCCTGCAACTCAAAGGCACCTCAGCTGGAGCTTACCTGGTCGCCCTGGCCGTAAAGCTGAGAGAAAGGACAGCTGGGCAGCAGGGAGTGCCGAGCGCCTGGGCACAGGGGCCTCGGTCCCCTGGTCCACTACACCAAGCTGTCTCCTTTCTTCCCTGCGTCTTTATAATCTACCAGTTTTTTCTTTTCTACATTGGTATCTTTCCTTTGCCAGTTAAGGCAAAGACTTTAAGTGCCTGATATCTTTGTTTTGTGGCACAGATCTCTCGGGCT